TAAAAAATTTATAATTATATACATAGTGTATAAATATGGTTACATATAATCTATAATACAGTTATATACTTAATCGAATCTGCATTATTAGTTATTGGTTTATGATCGATACATGGTGCTTGTATATGTGATTCTATTGTTAAATACATTAAAAATTTTTAACTTACTATTTAAATTTTTTTTTTGTACAATTCTTGAAGCTGTTTTGTATAGTGATGCAACATTGCAATTTACACTTAAAGAATGTTAAAGCTACTCTTAATAATAATATTTTCATCTTAATGCTACTAATATATGAATATGTAATATTTTATTCTGTTTCAATATGTTATAATAAGACTATTAAACTAGTTCTTTCAATATTAATCTATATTTTTTTTTTACTTTTATAATGTGAAAACATCATACTATACAGACTATTATCAAAATCAATCAGAATAATGATGCTTGCACTTCTTTGATATCTTCTATACATGGTCATATAGTATTTTTTTGTTTTATACAATAAAGTCTTATAATTATACATATAGTTTTTATCTGAAGACCTTTTTTTTTAATGTAATCATTTGGTACATATTTAAAAATGATATTAAATTTAATCATAATAATAATCTAATACTTGTCTATATAGTATTTTTTGTCTAATATAAAATCTTACTTTTTTTATTGTTACTAATAATTATACATTATGTGATTCTTACTTGAAATTTCTTTTTAATAATACAATGACTAGATTCTTATTTGAAAAATATTATTAATATTAATCATTATAATAAAATATATATTTCTTTAATGTCTTCAGTATTTGAACATATGATATTTTTTATTTTAACAGAATAATTAGATTTTAATAACAGTTTCACATTAGAAGATTCTTACTTAAAACTTTTTTCTTAATAGTATAATAAATTAATACTTACCTGAAGAATATTATTAAAAATAATAATATTTGTATACCTCTAGTACATGATCACATAGTATTTTTTTTTTTAAATTTCTTACTGCATGGTTACTAGTAGGTTGCAGCTGGCAGCTGTTTTATTAGTTCGAATTTTTTAAGTTCACAGGACCTTCTATCAGGACCCACTTATATTTTATATTTTTATTTATATATATTTATGGTACTATCTATATATTGATTTTGTGTTCCTATTACCCCAGAATTTTATCAGTATTATTTCTAATTGGGGATTCCTTTATTCTATTATTATTCTTAGCCTTTTAATCATTGCAACCTTTTTTTGTTAGATTTATCACTATTTAAGAATCTGAGTACTAAAGATTTTTCTATTTTTATAACATGTTATTAAATGTAATTAATTAACAATTATAATCTTAACTCAGTTTTTGTCTCTCATTGAACTTGAACTAGCAACCTTGTGATTGGTAACCTGGGAGCATAACCACTTTGTTATTGACCTGCAGGTCTCACATGATATTTTTTATTTAGAGTAATAATTTTTCTTAAAAAGTATAATAACTCTATTAAAAGATTAATATAAAAACCTACAAGTCAATAGTGAAGTAGTTATGCTCTTAGGTCATCAATCACAAGGTTGCTGGTTCAAAAACTGAGTTAGGATCATGATTGTTAATTAATTATATCTGATAATGTACTACAAAAATAGAAAGATCTTTGGTACTTAGATTCTTAAATAGTAACAGACCTAACATAAGAAGGCTGTGATGATTAGGAGGCTGAAAATAATAATAGAACAAAGGAATCTTCAATTAGAAATAATTTCAGTGAAATTTCAGAATAATAGAAACACAAAATTAATATATAGATAGTATTATAAAAATATACATAAATAAATATAAAATGTAAAATATAGGCAGAATTCTGATAGAAAGTTTCATGAACTTAAAAAAATTTGAACTAATAAAGCAGCATCAGTTGTGGCTCACTAGCAACCATGCAGTAGGAAATTAAAAAAAAAAAAAGGTTAATATAACAGAATAATGATATTTTTAGTTTGTTAACATTTACTACACAAGATCATATACTATTTTATTCTTATTTATTCTAATTTCATATTATAGTTAAACTATTCTTTCTTTTAATAATATTATAATAAAATTTTTATAATATCAAATATGACCAGAGTGATAATTATGCTTCTCTAATTTCTTCACCACATAATCATGTAATTTTTTTATCCTGTTCTAATAAGGTTTTTTAACTTTATTAAAATTTTTAAGACTAAATATATATAATTATATAGAATTTACTAATACTTAAACCTAGCAATACTTAACCATTCTAATAGTATCTAAATGCTTTCTATCATCCTATTATAGTTTAACTATTTAAAACTATATTAGAAAAAATTTTTCTCTTCTATAACAAACATATTAATTGTTTTCTAAGTTTTTTTTTATTTAGTTTACTTTTTCTATATATATATATATTTTTTTATTAATTTAAATTTTTTTTTCTAATTTTCTTTTTGTTTGAAGACCTTCATTTTTATTTGTTATGTTAATTTTTTTTTCATTTCTGCATTCTTTCATATCAAACTCTTTATATTTAATTATACAAATAATTCTTGATATTATTTATATATGTACTAAAATATACATTATATATAAGTAATAAAAAGAAAAATTTTATAAATTATTTTATTCAATAAATGAAACAATTTACAAGTTTTCTTTTTTCATTACTCATTTTGATTTAAAATTTTTTTATTAGATATTGGGTTAAAACAAGATCAATTCTATAAGATTTGTAAAGATATCTCAACAACTGCCTGATTAAACTTGATGAATTTTTTTATTTGAATTTTACAAATTTGTAGAATTTAAATAAAAAAATTTATCAAATTTAGTCATATGATCGTCAAGGTATCTTCACTTAAAGTCAAAAAAAAAATCAAAACGTCTATTAAAATAGAAACCGTGTCAATTATTTTTAAAACTTTGAGCAAAGATATCTCGATGAGCATCTGATCAAACTTGATGAACTTTTTTTATTTAATTTCTAAAAGTCCATAAAATTTAAATAAATAAAAAATAACGACTTTAGTCTTGTGATCGTCAAGATATCTTCACTCAAAGTCAAAGAAAGTCAAAGAACAATCAAAACGTCTATCAAAATAGAAATCACATCAAATTATTTTTAAACTTTGAGTCAAGATATCTCGACGACCACCTGGTCAATCTCAATGAATTTTTTTTTTTTTTTGAATTCTACAGGTTCATAGAATTCAAATAAAAAAAATCATTGAGATTGACCAGGTGATTGTTGAGATATCGTTGCTTGAAGTTTGAATTTTTTTTTATTTTTCTGGGGGGTATGTAAGGTATGAATACCAGCCAGATATATATCATATATTGGTCAAAGGGCATGATATATCAGACACATGATTCATTAAATAGTATATGGGTAATTATTTTTGAACCCGGTCAAATTTTATAAATGACGTAATAACATTTTAGTCTGGATTCAAAAATAATTATCCATATATTTATTGATCACTGTTTCTGAAAAGCGGAGCCGGCAAAAACCGAAATTACAGGTTTTCGCTTTGCAATACATTTATATATTATGATTGTCTGAACTAGTTTTTAGACCAGGCCTGAACTAGTTCTCTATGGACTATTTAACATCCTCATTGTACATACCCAATATAGGTTTGCAGAAGAGGTTCCCAGATTTCCGGTTAGAATACTTTAGAACCATGATCGGAAACCAAGATACTAAAAAGTTATACTAATGAAATCATAGTTCACTCATTAAGTAAAGCTTTCCAGCTGACCCAAAAATAGTTGACTTGTATATAAGAATAGAAATCATAAAGTCATCAATTGACTAATTGACTAAACTAATTGAGAGGCACTCTTTGCAAAGACATGCCCATTAGGCATGTCCCAAAAATTTTCCGTTACCAATCTAAAAAATTTCAAATATCGTTCAAAAAGTTTTAACCATGAAACCACCTTATGTGCATTAATAAAAAGATTTCCTAATCTAAATTAATAGCACTAATCTAGCAGCAGCGAAGTTTTTTTGGCGAAATTTTTTGATTCGTATCATTTCATTGACAATCGTTTCGCTGAACGCCTCATCAGATCAGACGTATCCGAAATTTGATTCTAATCCTTGTATAACTGTTCTAGCGTTACCTGGCACGCCTAAGGTCATTTAGCATGCCATTTAGCAAATGCATGCCAGTAAAAAAAAAAAAATTTAAATATTATTAAATGTTTTTTTAACTAATCGGACTATACAAAATAATAATTTTATAATAACGGTAAAGGCATGTCATCCTAATTTTTGAGGCAGTGGCATGGCAGTAACCACTGTGTCAGGTTCCCTAGATTTCAATATCAGAAGAAACACAACAATCAAAATAATCCCAAAAATTGTTCATAGCTCAACATTTTACCTATGAAACCACCTTCTGCGCATTGACAAAAAGTTTTCCTTACGAAATTTTGGTACTAGAGGAACTCTTGCTAACCTAATTAGTAGTAAAACCTGACCCTAATCTAGCAGCGAATTTTTTAGCGAAATTTTTAAGGTTGGCAATGGCCTAAATCCGATGGATTCGACCCGGAAATTTTGGGATCCTCCTGTAAAAATTAGGTTTCAGCGGTTTTGTGCAAACTTTTAACTCTTGCCTAATAAGGTAAGTTGATTGGCTTATAATCGGGCGCAAGCACGCAATCTTCGCCACATCCTATTACGTATAAAATCATAACATCTTTAGTGAATTGTTTGTGTTTTTGACCAACTAACTCATACTAGTAACTCTCATTTTCAACTGTAAAAAGTGTATAATTGTAACAATGCTTACTAGGTTAAATATTTTAGGAATAATTGCTATAAAAAATGGTGCTTTTTCTTTTTCTTGTCCAAAATCAAAACTGAAACAAAATTTTTACTGTTTTATCGTAGTCTTAACAGTCAAGATGGACAATATGCGATAGCCCACACTACTAAGCAATCGCCTTATTTAGAATCAGTGCAAGAGAAGACCGTATCTTCGTACCCAATGTCTGAGGCTCGAATGATGATATCTTCAGTACAAGGGGCATTTTTAAAGTTTCTTATACAAATAAGTAAAGCTAAAAGGGTATTGGAAATTGGAACTTTTACAGGTTATTCAGCTTTGTGCATGGCTGAAGCTCTGCAAGGACAAGGATCCGATGCCAAAGTAGTCACGTTGGAAAATGACGATGAGTTTTTTAAGGTGGCTAAAGAGAACATAGAATCATCTGGACTCGGACATCTGATTGAGATGAAGTTTGGCGATGCGAAAGAGACGTGAGCGATAATTTTTTTTAAATATGAGTGATACCAAGGGGCTTTCAAGTTTATTATTTGAGTGAACATATGGGAGCTCGTCAATAGAATAGGAAGAGATTTTTTCTAAGTTTTTTAAATTTTAAATTAAAATATCTCAACAACTTTTAAACTAAATTTGATGATTTTTTTTTTATTTTAATTCTATACAGTTATAAAATTAAAATAAAAAAAAGTTATTAAATTTAATACAGTAGTTATTAATCTAAAATTTTAAAAAAAGTTACTGAAAACTTTTTGTTCCTTTTCTATTGACGAGCTCCATATAGAAAAACATACCGAACTCAGACATATGACACGTAAGTCACTGAACCCGATAAATAATAAAAATTTGAAAGCCAGTAATAGAATGTTCAGCGTCTAAAATAACACTAGCGATATCGATGTTACGACAACTACATAATCAAATTTGTCCGGAATTATTTTTTAATTTCATACGAATTTAGTTTGGTTGCTTTCGTAATATCACTAGTTCTCTTTTAGATGCTAGAAATAGTTGGACACTGGTGCGAAGTCTGGTTTTTTCCTTTGCATCACTCATACATTCATAATTATGAATAAACGTGATAAATAATATTTTTAAAAACTTTAGACTTTTAAATTTCGATAATTCTGTAAAATTCGACCTAGTATTTATTGGTAAGATAGAAGTTTTTTTTTTAAATAAATAAAATAATTATTATAACAATGTATCTAACTTATCGGAAATTAGATGCTGACAAAGGTGGTTATATCAATTATTATAATACTGTTCTCGAGCGAAATCTTCTTTCAGATGATGGATTTATCTTCGCTGATAATGGTTTGATAATTTTTTTTTTCATTCGTGTTATATTCATGTGGTAAATGGGTGTTAAATTTGGAAACGAATCAAGTTCCGTTAGTGTTATGATCAGGATAGAATTATATAAAATAATTCTACTAAAACTCTGAATTTAATCAAAACCCATTTGCAGCATTCATACGGATGTCGCCAAAGGAAAACCTGTCATCAGGGTTTCATGTCGACACCTATATCAAAATAGACTCTGTCTAATTATAAGATCTTTTTAACAGCTTTGTTCGACGGTTTTGTGTCACAAGTGCCCAATACAAAAGACCTTAGTCAATTTCCTGACTCGGCAAAAAATATGCATGCATTTAATGAATATGTCATTAATGACCATCGAACTACAAAGATTCTTTTACCGTGCTTTGATGGTGTCATGTTAATTCAAAAAAAGGCCTAACATGTAGGTATGACCACCAAATCAGTAACAAAGCTATTTACTGATATTATTATGATGTCTATTTAGTATTAAAAATAAAGTTCAAGCAGTAACACAGATAATTGTTCAAATGTTAAAACATGTTAAAATACATAAAATTGTTGTGCCTGAAGTTACTACTTTCATGTCCAAAATTCTAGTATGTTCAAACTCCTACTGTATAATTAAAAAATTTATTTTCTTTGATTTTTCCTTTTAATTGTTTCAGCATTATTAAATTGCCGAAATATTTTTAGCAACTTCATACAAAGTTATTTTCTGGTTCTCATAATATGAAATAAAAAAAAAGACCCGGATTTATTTATTTTGATTAAACTATCTAAAAAAGGAAAACTCGTGCCCAATGATAATACTTACTACCTGTACATATTTAAACATATAGGGTCTTTGCCTTGAAAATGACCTTATGAAATATAGTAATTACTATGTCCCGTAAGGTCGTTTTCAAGACAAAAATCCCATATTTCAGACAAATTAAGATAATCTGTTTTAATTTCCAAGTTAATATGTTTGTGTCTAAAAGAAAATATAAAATCATGTATTTTTTTTATATAAATTTATTATTAATTCTTGAGTAAACACTGCCTTCAGGCGCCTGAGGCAACGCCTGTCTCGAATTACGTATCTAACGCGCGTAGGAAAATCAAATTTCGCTCTAAGGTAAGGATGTACTAATTTTTCCCCAAGTTCCTATTGGCTGGAATTATTTGCACCAAATTACATGTCATTTTATCCTTAAAAAGTCAAGTTCAATGTCAGAATTAATAAACAATTTTATAGCAAAATCTTGCAAAGAATTTTTTTTGTTAGTACACAAAAGGTAGATAAGTGAGTCTCTTCAAAAACAAGCGATTGGTTTTTTATATAATTTTTATGTTACACCCGATCTTGTTTTCTGATTCGCTGTAGATGCATCACGTTATTAAAGGTCGTCGATTTTATCCAATTAGAAATGCGATTTACTCACGCCAATAGTAACTTGGGGGAAAATTGGTGGACAGGTGGTAGATAACCTCTGACACAATAGCATAAATCGACTTAATGTAAATTTAATACGTAATGCGTACGAAAAATTGAACCTATTTTAGTATAGCAACAATCAAAAGCTTAAATCATCCCTTTATTTTAATAATATATATTATATATATAAATATATGATATATCTTAGTACTCCACATTATAAATAATATTACATTTTAATTAAAAACCAATAAGCATCATTAACACATAACCAACTGTAATTATGGACGCCAAACCTAACACCGATCCCGGTACACCAGATTTTATAAAATCCATTGTATTAAGATACCGTACTCCCATTTCATCTTCCATCATTATAGCATTCATATTTGGAAAACCGGATACTGGTAATCCCATTGCTACGGAACAAATTAATGCAGAACCCTATATTTAAAACCCAATGATTAGTAAAAAAAATAATAATAATTTAAGGATCAAAACTTAAAGTGTAATAAACAATACAAACCATAACAAGTAAATTTGGATGTGGATCGCTCAAATGTAATCCAACCTCGGCCACAATAGGTAAAATAATTAATGCACCAACTGTATGACTAATAAATGTGGCCACAATCACAACCAATGAACCAAACAACGCCAAAGCCTGCCATACATTTAAATTACCAGAAATTGATTGAACGGACTCAGCAATGGTTTTTAATAACCCTGAATCACGTACAGCAGCACCAAGAGCTATACCACCCATTGCAAGTACAATTACAGTCCATAAGAAATTATTGAAATCTTCTTTTGTTAAAATTCCAGAACCAAAAAATGCAACTAATGGTATAACAGCTATAATTCCCATATCTCCAAAAAATGATTCAAAAACTTCAAATGTTTTTTCGGTACACCATAATGCAATAGTTATACCAGTTACTACCATTACAAATATTTGAGTTTCAGACCATGGATCTTTTGTTAATCTTATTGGATGAATAATTAATGAATTATCAGATGGTTTATAATTAAAAAGTAATAAAAGCCAAACTAAAATGTTTACAATTATACATATAGGAATAGCTACTATAAACCATTGACTCCATGTTGGAGATGGATTTATATATTCAATTGCTATTATATTTTGCGGTGATGATATGGGAGATGCCATACCACCAACATTGGATGCCAGTGCAATACCTAAAATTAAGCATCGACCAAATGAACTGTTTGGAGGTAAGTTTCGAAGAATTGGCTAATATTTAATAAAAAAAATGAATCGATTAGTTATAATTACTCTATGATCGAGTTTATAATAAATAAATAAATAAAAAAAATTAAAATATACTTGAATTAATGAAAGGCACAAAACTGGTGCAGCAACATTACTTATCCACATGCTTAAGAATGTTGCAACAAACATATTAACAAGAAGAACAATGCTTGGTCGTGTTCCAGCTTTTGACAACAAAAATGTAGCCATCACTTTTGCAATATGATATTTACTTAATGCAGCAGCAATTGCAAAGCCACCTAAAAGTAACATTATAACTGGTGAAAACATTGCTGAAAAAATATGGTGTGCTGTTCTAGTTGCAATTGGAATTTTTTTTGATACATCAGAAGATAGTACATCTGAAGGTAGTACACGTAAACACACAACTAGTAATGGAACTAAAAGCGACGTGACAAAAAGAGGCATAACCTAACATATAAAAATGTAATTCGGGTAAATTAAAAATATAGTTATAATTTTTATAATATAATATCAATCTTACCTCTGTAGACCAAAGAAGACAAACGAATATCAATAAAGCAAAACAATTTCGTTGTTCCGGTTTCGTAAATAAATTTATATTCAATAAGAATAAAAATACCATGATACAAAATGACAATATCAAAAACTTTTTCCAGAAAGCAGTTGAAATGGTTACCCCGCCAAAAGGCGTTTTAATCTTCGCTTTAGTTTCAATTGAATGATCTATTGTTACGGGTGCTTTTATGCCTACAGCTTGAGATTTTCTTTCTAAACCAATTATATCTCTCCAGACAGTATTTCTTTCCCAAACTATGAATTCCCTTAAATGGGTTTTAAGTTCACGCATAGCTTCATCCATATTTGCGTTAGTACATATATTAGCATAAATTTCTTGTACTTTTAGAATTTGTTCTTCCAGGTTTTTAAACGTTGAATCTTTAAACACATAAGCATCATTTACCACATTATTTAAATATGAAGCTTTAAGATTGCCACTGGTTATCTTGTCATATTTTTTTAGGATTTTCGAAAATCCTGTTCTATTTAATGAAACAAATGACTTGAGTTCAGATAACCAAACGAAAAGTTCAATTGTGCGCCTTTTTAAGCGTATTTTTTGTTCTTCAATAGACGGTGGTCTCCATAGAACGGGATTTCTTCGATCCAAAGGTGAATTGTAGGCAACATCAGCTCTCATGATCGGTGCATTATCATCCTCATCACTACTAACATTTGAAAAAACGGATTCTGAAGTTGACATTCTATGAAAACGAGAACTACTGGCTCTAATACTATTTCTATTAGTTCTGTCCATTGAATGATTAGACCGACTTAGAGAAAATGAATTGCTGCGGACGCTCACTGAATCTTCAAGATTTTCAAATACGGCATAATCTTGAATAAGATCGGTAACTTCTTTAAAGAGTTCATTTTCTTTAGAAAGATAAAATGTGTTAATTTTTGTAAGTTCTTTGTCAAGAGCTGGTATAAATATTGCATTTGCACGAGTTGTTAAGTCTAACAACGGAGACTCTTCGATTGCTTCAGCATCGTTTGCTTGGGCAGTAGGTGTTATTATTATTATATCTCTTTCAATCTGATAGACGAGTTTTTTGAGATTTGAGTATCTACAAAGAAAATTTGAGTCAAGGTATGTTCGATATCATAATAACCTTCAACTTTGTAAACGAAATATAATTAAATAACAAATTTCATTAAGGCATATACTGCCTTTAACATGAAGGATACGCAATATAACGATCAGCCCAGTCTGGGACAGAATTAAACTGAAGCGAGTGAGAAAATTTCATGGATGAGAATTAGATGGACTGAGCATTATATTTCAGCATTATATTTCTCATTATATTTCTACTTCGTATCCAAATTAGGAAAACGCATGAAAAAAAGGACTTAAAACTGAAGCCAATCATTATGTTTAAAAAAAAAATGTGAATGAATTCTTTGGCTCTGAGCACATGTTAATCGGAGTAATATTATGCAATTCAATTACTAAATCTGACGCTTATTGATTTTCAATACGTTACCTAAACTATTTGAACGACAAACTATATAATACATACGTATTTAATTCTTTAATACAAGTCTATATTCAGGGCTTTGTTTTAACATAAGCAGAGTTGTTATAGCCTTACGTCCAGCATTTTTAATTTGCCTAATTAGCCTTAACCTCAAGTCCAATTAGCCTTAGCCTCAAATCCAATTAGCCTTAGTATTAGGGTTCGAAGCACGGAGGCACGGACATGTCCTTTGGGGCATACCTACGGGCAGGGATGTCACGGGACAGCCTTTGGACAAAGTTTGGACATCTTGAACATTTTTAAATATTAAAATTACTCTAACGTTGTTTAAGACAATCCTATCACCATATAAAGATCACAGGAGGATTACAGTTGGTTTCAAAAAGACGTGGAAAACGATTTCCATATACCTATGTGGGGAATCGAAGAATGTGGAAATTCTGCTTAAAAATCCGATTAGTGCGGGTCTGAAAATCTGGGAAAATCTTGAATTCTCCACCGCAAGACCGGAATGTGTGACAAATTATGCATTTTGTCGATCACACACATCTGAAATGCACAAAATTCTTTAAAATTCAATGATGTTTAGGTTAACGTTTGTATTAAGGTTAAAGATATATAGTAAAATTGTTCGATTTTGAGAAATAACCGATTTTTGGAAAAAACGAACGCTTGTTTGGTCGTGTAACGTTATACCTGATATTGAAATCTGATTGGTAGTCTGGCACTAATTGCCCTTTTCACAAATTTTAGAAAACGGGTTGCGAAATAGTAAATCTGCTATGATCATCACATGAGGTGAAATCTAATAAAAAGGAAATTCTATTTCAAAAATAACCCGCCGTAATAGTTTTTATTCTCCGGTACTTATTTATACTTCTATACTATTTTTTCACATTTATTTTACTTTTTTAATTTTTAAACTATTAAAGTTACGAAAAGTAAAGAAGTTTTGTGTTTGTAAACTTTATGAAATGCGTAACTTTAATTTGAAAAAATAGTATAGAAGTATAATAAGAATCTGAGAACAAAACAATTAAGTGTGGATCGACGATCGCAGCCAGTGGTCATTTCGTCATTATCCGATCACCGATTCATATCCAATTTCTGGTTATTGTTCTCACTCTAACCTGATCTACAAAGTGATTTTGCAACTCAGGTTTCACCCTGTTCTATTTTTAATTATTAAAGCTTAGATAAGCTTTGGATACTTGAATAGTTTAATTAAAAAAAAGTTTGATATTACGCATGTACATCCTTGCCTTCAAGCATGTTGTTAAAATACTAAGTATGTTAGAAGATTTGTTAATTATAATGTTTTTAAAATTTATAGATTTTTAAAATTTTAAATCAATATTTCTTAATAAATACTTGAATAATTTTAAGAAATTTTTTTATTTTAATTTGGGTTTGAGTCAATAGAAATCAAGCAAATCAAAAATTTTTCAAAATTGAGATTTTTTAATAAAATAATAAAACAAAGTATGCTGATTATTTTTTGATTATTAATAAAATTTTGTTAGCATAATAAAATTTTGAGATATTACAGCTTTAGGTTTTTTTATGAAGTATAATTACACAAAAATTGTAGATCAGATATCACTTCGGAAATGTAAATTGATCTACTTCATATTAGTATAACTGATAACTATCACTATACATTATTTTATCTGTATGCGTAACACTACGTATACTCATAATCGTAACAGACTCATGACTTTAATTAAAGTTTAAATTAAGGGTGATCAAATACCCGATGCTTTTAAGAAAGTTATAAAGCAGGTTTTTTAATTTAATCTATTTAATACGATAGTAACTATTGAGCCAACTGTAAAGCATAAGCTTATGCTTATGTAGAAGGAACACTGACTAGAGAATAAGCTGAGTAAGAATGAAGACCCATAGAAGCTTAGATCAGTAGTGTGAACTCTGGTAATACAGCAATACAAAGTATCCGAACAAGACAAAAAAAAGGTCATGCTTGTTGGAATTCGTATGTATAGATGTATGCCTAATTTTTTTTTGAAATAAGTATTTTTAGTAAACATTTTGACACTGCTACATTTTTATATAACCCTCCAAAATAACTATATTATATGATGTATTTTGATGAAAGGAGTCCAAAAAATTTTAGCAATAATTTCAGCAATTATGAAAATTATTTTCGGTAATTATAAGAGACTAATTTTAGCAAACTAAATGTCATAATAATTTTTTGTTAAGATGAGCAATTTAGACATACATGTATATTCATATGATCGAAGGTGCCAGGTGGCAATTGAGTTCATAGTGCCAGGAATTAAGTGTAATGCAAAAAGAACATTAGTATATAAAAGCAAGAATAATTATAAAAGAAAAGTAAAGACGTATCTGTAGATAAAAATTATACCAAAAAAGACATATTAATAATTCAAAATTTTATTATGCCAATTTAACTCATTAAGTAAAAATAGTTTAACACCTAATTTTACATATGATTCTGTATCTTTTTTTATGATTTTTTGTTTTATGAAAGCATAAACGTCCTTGGATATCAAAAATGTATAGCACTGTGTCTGTGGTTAAAAAACATCTTAACACCTTATAATGAGAATTACAAAAATTATAATAAAGTTAGAAGAAACATTAAAAGAAAAAAATATACTTAAAATCAGTGATGGTATTTAGAGATGGGCAAGTTTATTATGTATTCTTATTTAATATTACTTAACATTATTTTGATTTTTTTTGCAATTAAGTAACAATAAGTCATTCTATGATAATTCTATTTTTAGTAACAAAAATTTGTATAATCTTAGCTTTCTTATCGTTATCATGTGAATAGATGTATAAGTAATAAACAAGAATTACTTAATATTGCTTAATCTTAATTAAAGGATAAGTAATAAGTAATTATTACTTAATAAATTACTTTGCCCATTATTAGAATTGAAAAAAGAGCACAAGACTTTAATTCTGCAATACTATTTTATTATAAACATTGAAACAAAAAAATTAATAGTAATAATAAGAATTAAATACAAGATAAAGGTTTGAATTAAAGTAATGTTGTTTAAACAATATAAGCACTAAAAACTTACTTATTATATTTGAAAGATTAGATCCTAATGGTTGATTATAAATCTAGCAATTACTTTGTAATATAATATTAATGGTATCCGAGATAGTGAACTAGCAATAGTATTTTTGACGTAGATGTTTTAGTGATATGGTATCTTTAGAATATATTGGTTAGATGTGAAATAATGATATAGTAATAGTGTGTAGTATGAATAATAAGGCTAGTTAGGACAATAAGGGTAATGGGAAATGAGAGTAATAAGATAGAGATAGTAAGATAATAAATAAGACTGAAAAGAAAATTAGGATGAAGATGCATTAAATAAAATTAACCAAATACTTACTGAAAATAAAGAAATCTTCTAATGTATGGAAAGTAAAAGTTGACATGTTAAAAGTTAGAAAGTTGTAGGTGGAACCTGGTAAAACAATATTAGTAATAAATAATAATAGAATACACTAAAGACACAGGAGATAACTGATTGATAATATTCAAGTAAATGTAAATAGAAGCATGAAAGGAATTACATAAAAGCATACAAGTATGTTTTAGGTATCAAAGAATCAGATTTGTATAGGTAAAATTATGCTTATAATTTATAATTTCTCTTTATAAAATGAATTAGCAGTTTATAAGTATTATTTTGGAATATCAGATTCAAAATTAATGTCTTATTATTATATTAAAATAATGTATATAGTGATAGGCGTATGTACAGTACATATTCGAAATAATGTACAGATAACCTAGATAATGCACAGATGCTTAGCTTTTTGGTAAATAAAAATGTCTATGTACAACAAGCTTATTTGTTTTGTCATTGATATTAATGTCTAACATTAAGAATTTTTTATTTAATAGTATCTTTATGGAAACACATAGCGAATTAGAAACTCTAAATGATGAATTAAATGAACTTTATGAAGTTTACCAAAAAAATAGATTAAAAGATAATAGTAACAGCAACAGTGATGATGATAATAATAACATTAATAATATTGATGAAAATATAAAGTTAGAAGAAGACCAGGAAGACATAAATAATGTTTTTACTATGAGGCAAATTGAGGAATTTAAAAAAATTTATGCATTTAAACCTGTACAAGCATCTATTAAAAAAAAAAGTAAGTTTTTAGTAAAATTGGAAAAACAAGATGATGAAGCATATTTAAAAAAATTAAAAGAAAAACAATATTGTCAAAAGAATTGTGTTATTCAAATTAACACACAAGATGCTCTTAACAGATATCGAGAAATCAAGGCAATATCTCAAGCAGAAAGTAATTTTTGTTTTTTAGGGATGATAGATGCTAGTGCAAGATTTGGAATGTTAAATAATAAAGTAACAAAAACCTATTTAACAACTAATTACAATTTCAGTAGAATGCCTGTTTGCCAAAATGCTTGGCTAATTATATATGGTATTGGATAAGCTAGATGGGAGTTATTATGTACATATTATCAACAATATGGACTAGCCCCAAAAATTCATAAATTGAGTGGATGTATTAGTAATTCTGCAATTCCGTTTGATACAATCTTATACATATTAAAATTTATTAGAAATTTTGCTAATTAACATGGTCTGCCGTCTTCAGGTAATTAAATATTATTGTTTTATTATTACAATCTGTTAATTGTTTAAATTAATTATTAGGATGAAGCTTTCAAGATAATACTAGAGAAATTATATATTTACCTGCATATGAAAGTAAATGTTTATTATTTAAACTTTATGATGGTATCGAAAATAATAAAGATTACAAAATTAGCCTTTCAAGTTTTCTTTGCATCTGGAAATTATATTTTCCAGGAATTAAATTTTTAACTATACGTAGTGATTTATATATGCTATGCAAAGATATGTGATTTAGAGCAAAATATTGGCACAAGAATGAAGTTGAAAAAAAAATACAAGAATGGAATGAACATTACAGATAGGCTCAACTAGAGTGAGAATATTATAGGTTTTATATTTTCTATAATTTATACTTAAATTAGCTAAAGCTATCCAAAATTATACAATTAGTTTTTATATCCTACTCGCGTCAGTGAAGTAGTGTTTGTAAATTTTTTTTTTTATATAGTTAACCAATAGAATTCTATATAGTGAAACAAAAGTGTATAGTTTAGTGCTTGAACCCGAATAGGCACTACCTGGCTCATTCACAGGTTAACAAAGATAGATAAATTTATTCGTCTCTTATAGATAAGCTCAGCATCATTATATGTATCATATTTAATAAAAAAAATTGATTTAACTATTTATATATTACAAGTTTTTAATTCAGTTAAAAGTTGACTTTAACTATTTATCAGTAAAATTAGCTTGAAACATATCAGTATGATTTCTTGAAAGTTAATTCTTTACCTAACACCACATCTTCTAACAGACTATTTCATTTATAGCACATTTTTTCAACAAAACATATTTTTAGGCATTTTCTTTTATTATTATTTTAATTAAAAATTTTTTTTCATAAAAAAAAGCTGTGCACTCATGTTATAGATTACCATTCTGTGATATGAAAACCAATTATATAATTTTATATAGACTAATTATATTTAGAAAATTAATATTATTAATTTTATAATTTTTAGAACATGTATTCTAAAGTCAAAGTCTGCTTTAAGAAGCTTACCCAGTTTTTTACATCCTGGTACACCAAATTTACTCGATTTAGAAAATTATATTTCATGGGATTTTGCTAAATGTGTTCAAATTCCCTATTTCTTACAACAAGAAGGAACAATATACTTTAAATCGCCTTATAAAATACAGGTATTTGGTGTATGTGAGAAAGGAACTCCATGACAGGTAATTATATATATTAAAAATGTATACTCTATTCTGGTATATAGAATTATAATAGCCTAATATCCTAATATCTATGATATTGGCAAACTGGGGTTAAATATCCTTATAAACTAGACAAATTTTAAAATCGTCCAAAATACAATATAGGTATACATGTGTGCCTAAATTGCCTATCTTATAGCTGTTCTTATAAATTTTGGGACAACCAATAAAAATTTGATCTGCCGAATTTGTTAAGTTTTTGAATTCGGTACTATCGGAATTGGATTTTTAGCATTACAGTAATTTGATAACACTGAATTCAAAAACTTATTAAATTCAGCTGATCAATTTTTATTAATTGTCCCAGAATTTATGAGAACAACTATGATAAAAAAGTAATTATGGCATTTAGACAGCTGAAATTATATTTGCTGAAATTATTGTTCATAAATTATCAGCTCAAATTTAACATAAGTGTAAAAATATTAATTTCCTATATTAATTAATATTATTATATTTGTAGATTAATTACTTAATTCAAGAAAGTGAAAACGTAGAAAAAGGGGCCAATGTAGTAATTTCTCTAGTTCATAATTATTTTATAAATTATGGTATTAGTGAAAAGCATCTTGTAATACATGCTGATAATTGTGTTAGCCAAAACAAAAACAATGCTATGATTCAGTATCTTATATGGTGGGTGGTGAATGGATTGCATGAGAAAATTACTTATTGTTTTATGGTTGCCGGCCACACCAAATTTAGTCCTAATGGATTTTTTGGTCTCTTCAAATTAAAACTACGAAAATCTGAGATAGACGACTTGAATGATCTAATAAATGTGATTCAGCAATCTATATTTGATAGATATAATTAGGTAGAAACTGTTTATGATGTAAATGGAAATAGAAAAATTACTTTTTATAAGTGGTCTAAATTTTTAGATCAATTCTTTATTAAAATATCATTAATTCTTAAACAATATCAATTTATAATTACTAAAAAGAATATCAGAAAAGTAGAGATTCGAAAATCTTGTAATGACATTTCAAAAGAGATTAATATTGCTTAGGTTAATTTAATTCCTAACATAAAAAATGAATTTCCAGAAATAGTTTCAGAACATGGTATTAGTTTAGAGCAACAATGGTATTTATATGAGGAAATACGACAGCACATTCAGGATCCATCCAAGCATGATGTATATTGTTTAAAACCTAATCAACTGAAGTCGAAGAAAGCCAAGATCTCTCTACAATCTGAAGCTAGTAATCAAAATTGATAACTCAATTTTTTTATCATTTATTATAAAAAAAAATTAGTATTAAGAAAGATAACAAAGAGGCATTCATTTATTATAAAAAATCTGCAAGAATGAGAAATGTAGATGGAATAAATCCGTTGGATGTTGTTATCAAACTGGATATAGAGTCAATAAAGATAAATACAAAGCATTTAAATATTAAATATCTTCTCATTTACTTGAAATTTTAACAGCTATAATAGCCTGATTATATAAATAACAAAACATTAGTAACATGGTAAACTGACACACTAAGATTCGAATGTAGAAAAAATTGATCACGTGACTAGGCCTTAATATCTGAGTGTTAGTAGTAAAAACACTAATAAAATTAATAGTAAATAATTTTATTAATTTTATTGAATAGTGAAATAGCTGTTCAAATACTTGTATATTATTTTAAGCACATGTATTATTTAATATAAAAATAAATTTGTATTGAGATAACATCTATATGTATTATACTATAAAGTTCTGACTTGTCAATTCCTTTTATAAGTTTTATGTAAAAATGATTTGAAAACTAAAATTTTGATTTAGATCTGAATAGTATTTGTCATGTCATAAGGAATAGTAATGTTATGTTTTGAAAAATAGCTAGATGATTTAAACTTTGAAGAATGATGACAAATAAAAAAGATGCCCTAGGTACATCGTTAGTCTTGTAAAAATCTAGATACAACACTTTACAGTATATTATAGTTGTAAACTTAATAAATAACCTCAATGTAATTTAAAAGGTAGTTATAAAATAATGTCCTGTTTCAGGTATTATATTTTACACAAAATAATAAAGTTGATACAATTGATTTTTAAATAATACAGATTTTTAAACCTACTGTCACAGAATTTCTAAAAATTAAACAAGTAATATACAGAATATAGTCTATTGTTTTGTATTCTTAGAGAAATAAATTACTATCTGACAAAAGACTACAGGTATTATTTTACTTTGCTAATTTTTGTAAAAATATTATAATTTAATATCGATATGCTGAGTTAATAGAAATCAAGCAAATCTATTAAACAAATTTGCTTGATTTCTGTTGACTCAACTTTTTTTAATTTCCGATCTTCCCAATATGGCTAATTGCATTAGATTAGATCAAATCAGAACGAATATTGTTTATTAAATGTAATACAAAAACATGATTTTCTCAAAATTATAATTTTACCAATTTGCTGAATTTCTGTTAACTCACTCCCAGATACCTAGGTCTTAGTACTAGATGGACAAAAACCTTCAGATTAAAAGTCTTAGAGGTATTACCAACTATGCTGTCAAAACAAAACAGAAAAAAAGATATTAGACTGATCTAATATACTAATAGACTGGTCATAGTCCTATATAGACTATTTGGATTAGAAGTTTGGCAAAATTCAGAGATATACTAAAGTACCAGAGTTATGCTATAAACTAGATAATAGAGTCTGAATGAACTCTACAAGGGCATAGCAGTTTAATGGTTATGTTTTGATCACAAGTGTTGGTTCTGTTATAGCAATATCTAAGTCAGTTGTAAAAATAAGTACAGAAGGTTTTGAGAAATTTATCTTAAAGATAAATTAGTTCTAAAATTGAAGTGATGATCTGGATATTTGGGTATGACTCAGTGAGTTAATAAAGGTTATAGATTCAGAGAATTTAAACTAAAACATTCAAGCAAAGATGTTAGATATAACAATTAATAGAGAACCTTTAGGTGAACTCTTTAAATAAATAATATAGAAAAGTTATATGTATAACTAATTGTATGTTCTCTTGTAATAGTTCATTAAATTACAATACCAATAAGTGATTAATAAAATCAAAAGACTAAAAAGGTCACCTTAACATTCAAAAAAAAAAAAATTTGACAAGTATAAGATTTAAAATATTAATTAAAATTTTTATAAAAATTAAAATATAAATACTAATTGATAGATTATATTTATAAACTAGGTCTATTAAGAATTTGAGTTTTTGTACTATTATAGTTTTTAATATATTGTGAGCTCTAAAATCAGTTATACATTATCACAGTCATATATAACTGATCATTAGAATTAGGTTTTACTTCTTACTTGAATAATTAGTTATATAAAAAATAAAATTTATTTTACTTTTCTTATTTTTATTAATTTTGTTATATTTATTATATTTATTACTTTGAGTAGATCAACAGTATATAGGACATGGGGTGTGTGACCTAGTGAAGTAGATAGGTTGTCAACCTCCAAATGGCAGGTCTAGAGTTCAAATCCTAGTGATGGTAAAAATTTGCAATTCTTTCTGTGTTACAGCTAACTGTCTTCTGTGATTAGTTGGGATAGAATACCTGTAACTCATGTTATACCAGCCTGACTAGAAGGTCTAGGCATTCGTGCAACCTTGTACTAAGAAACACAAACTGGTACCAGGCAGTATGAACCCAAGATAAGTCCTTAGGCTGTGTAAATCATGAGAACCAGGTAGAAGGATGGAAGCCCACTTGGAAGACCTGAGTAGAAAGGTAACCCAAACTTTTGATAGTGCTACTGTAAAGACTAAACTTATGAAACAGAGCTAGAATTTGTGAAACCAGGCAAAGAGCCAGTCTTTGAGGAGAGGCCAAATGGAACC